TCATGGTTGAGGCCGTCTTCATGGACATCGAACGTGGCTATCAGTTTCTGCTCAGCAACTCTACATTGTGTGTCTTAAAGGCCCAGGGACAGACCCTCAAGAATGCCCATCTCTGTGCTGCTGTGATGATCTCTCTATTCAAAAATGGACCTTCCCCTCCTCTCTTGCCTCCTTTTTCATCCTTCCTATAGCCTCTGTAACCCAGAACATTGAGCTGTCCAGTCCTGTCCCTCCATCAGCCATGTACCTGTAATAGCTATAATATCCCAGTCTATGTTCCCGTCCATGCCCCAACTTCATTTACCTTACCTGTCAGGCCTCCTGCACTGAAATAAATGCAGTTTAACTTAGACTTCCTTTGCTTCCTGCCATGCCTTTGCCTGCCCTGTCTAATACTGGGATTACCAACACTGCCTTTACTATTTAACTTGCTCTCATTACCTGTCCACCATCTACAAGGCACAAGTCAGGAGTGTGATGGAATACTCCTCACTTGCCTGAATGGGTGCATCTCCAACAACACTAAACAAACTTGACACCATCCAGGACAAAGCAGCCCGCTTGACTGGCACTACATCCCCAACGTAAAGACTCTGTCTTTTTAAACACCATTCTGAATAAGGTTCACTGGATTCTGCTTTCTTGCTGCAGATATTTCCAGATCTGCTGAGTTTTTCATTAATTTCTAGATTTTATTTCCATTTACTTTTAATTTTATGCATTTTTGATTTTAGACTGAAATGGGAAAAGAACTGTTTTAAAAACTAAGGATTGTGGAAAGGATTACTGCACTTTTTAAAAGCAATGAAATTAAATTGATAGCAAGAAGTTATATAGAACTGGAAGGCGTAAAATCTGCTTGTAGATAAGCTGCAGCCAAGAGTTGTGTAGAGTGGAGATTCTGCTTGTAGCAAGTAGCTAATTGATAACTGGTCACAAGCCCGGAAATCAGTGACAAAGTCCTTCTGCCTGCCAGCATCTGTGTGATGGGCTCCCAGGCAGCTGAGCAGCTTGTGGGTGTGAATGTTTACATCAGAACTTTTGGACTGTCGCTTAGTTCTGAAGAAGTGTCACTGGACCTGAAATGTTAATTCTTATTTCTCTCCACAGCTGCTGCCAGACCTGCTGAGCTTTTCCAGTAATTTCCATTTTTGATTCCTTTTGGCTGGCTTGAATGGATTCCTTCATTAGTATCATGGGCATTTAGCTCATCCACTGCACAGAGTCCGCTCTCCTCAACAGTTATTCACCACACAGCCACGTCCTTTCCCTGTACTGGATCAAGAAACAATTCCTACTAACCAGCTATCTGTGTGGTGTTGATGTTGTTTTCATCAGCCTTTTTGAATTTTGGGGATGGTTGATAACTCTATGTAGGTGGCTCTTGTTGGTCTGATTGTCTCTGTTACCAAGGGTGAGACTATACAATGAACTTATAGCCTTTTTGATGTCACTTTTTTTTTCAAGAAGCGATGCTGAATGCAGGACACTTTCCCAGACAGATTCACTGCGATGCTAACTGCAGGATGCTCTTCCCAGGCTCTTCACTGAGATACTGACTGCAGGACACTGCGATAGTATATAAAATCCTAAAGAACTGTGGATGCTGTTAATCAGGAACAAAAACAAAGTTGCTGGAAAAGCTCAGCAGGTCTGGCAGCATCTATGAAGGAAAAAAACAGAGTTAACGTTTTGGGTCTGGTGGCCCTTTCTCATAACGGTAGTATAGTCAGGGGAATAGATACTGTTCTCTGTGGTCAGGGATCGAAAGTCCTAAAGAATTCCAGTTGCTATGTTCCACATAGGTAATGAGGTAAGTAGGATAAGCAAAAAGGATCGACTGAGGAAATATAAGCAATTCGGGGCTAAATGAAAAAGCCAATAGTCTCCGGATTACTATGTGAGCCACTAACTAATTGCACAGAGTCAACAAGATTAAAGATTGGCGTAAGAGAAATGGGGTCCAATTCATGGGATATTGGTATCAGTACTGGGGAAGCAGGGAGCTCTTTGAATGGGTTGAGTACGTATGACTCATCCTGGATCCACAATCCTGGCTAATCGCATAACTAAGGCTGTAGGTATGGCTTTAGACTAAAAAGTGAGGAGATTGGTGTATTTGCATGGAAAATTAGAAAATCGAAGTTGAAAGAGAAGGTCAGATTGCAGGTTAATAAACCTCCTCTAGACCCCTCTCCAAAATTAGCACATCTTTCCTTCGATATGGGCCCAAAACTGCTAACAATATTCCAAAAGCAGTCTGACTAGAGCCAATGTGGCATGTCATAGTTTTTATCTTTACATGTTTGCATTCCTTCCAAGATGGCTACAATACAAAAACATAAATTTACTGTTGAGGCCCAATTCTGCTCCTATATCTTATGGTCTTATAGGTCATTGACGAAGCAACTGAAGATGGTTGGGCCTAGGACACTACCCTGGGAAATCCCTGCAGAGATGTCCTGGAGCTGAGATGATTGACCTCCAACAGCCAACTATCTTTGTGACAGGTATGACTCCAATCAGCAGAAAGTTTCCCCAGTTCCCATTGTCTCCAGTTTAGTTTGGGTTCCTTGATGCCATGCTTGGTGGGTTACCCAACCCCAGGGGAGAATTGAAACTTTGGGATCATGAACTCCAAGGCAGTAGCTCACACTGATTGGACTGACTGTTGCTGTAAACTATTTCTTACCCCCAAAGAAACGTTGCCCACACTAAGGAAACAATCAGGTAATAAAGAAGGCAAATAGAACTTTGGCAGTTATTGCTGAAGGAATACAGTATAAAAGTAGGCAAGTGTTGCTGCACCTGTACATTAATGAGACCGCACTCGGAGTATTGCTTACAATTTTGGTCCCTTAGTTGAGGAGGAATATAATTCGATCAATTTCACTAGATTGATTCCAGAGATGCAGGGCTTGATTTGTGAAGAGAAATTGAGCCGTTTAGGCCAATACACTCTGGAATTTAGAAGAATGAGGCGATCAAAATGAGATATATAAGATGCTAAAGGGGATTGACAAAATATCCATAGACAGGATTTTTCTTCATGTGGATCAGAGTTATAGAATATGAGGTAGCAGGTTTAAAACGGAGATGAGGAGAAATTATTTCACGCAAAGGGTTGTAAATCTGTGGAATTCACTACCCAGAGTGTGGTGGCTATTGGGACATTAATTAGTAATCTTCTCCTCAAATTTACTTAATTTGTAATTAGCCTAAATGTTGAAGGTTATGGAGAGAAGGGAGGAAAGTGAACATCAGCCGTGATTACATCAAATGGCAGAATGGACTCAAGGGGCTGAATTGCATAGCCGTGCTCTTAATTCTTACGTTCATTCCATCAACTCCATCCAATGCTCAACTTCAGCTCCTCTGAAGTCCAGGTCAAGATCTGAATCCCAAGGCTCAACAACTGAAACCTCTTCCCTGTTTCTCGTTGGCTCAATATTCTCGTAATTGCCAGATTTTCATTCTGGGGTCACAACGTCTGAGGCTTTGAAATAGGGCCGTGCAGGGAAAAGTTTGGGAAATGCTGTGATATGTCACAAGAACTTCAGTTGTATCACATTACAGGTTTCATTTTTGGAGATCTAGTTTTGGATATGGTTTCTCAATGTGTTACCTCTTATCCAAGTTTCTGCCATCTGCATCACTGCCTAAAAAAAAGTTGGGCATAGTCACTGCGAGTGGAGGTACAGTAATGCCTAGTTAAGGCTGGAGTGAGAACTGGAAGGCTGAAGTTAGTTAAGCTTAAAGGGGAAGTATGAATCCTATTTTTCAAACACCCTGAAAGATGAGAGAACAGAGAAGCTGTCTTGTTCCAGATGAAGTGATCAAGAATAGCCTCTCAATTCTTTCATGCTAGTCAATTAGTTTATGGCTGATATGTATTGGAATTTCATTTTCTCACCTGTTTCCATTTATTTACCGTCTTTTACCAAACAAATCTCTCTGTTTTGGCCTTTTCGTTTGACCCAGTAGCTCACGAAGGGTGAAAGAATTCCAAATTCCTGCTACTGTATGAAGAAGTGCTCCCTACATTACTCCTCCCTCAAAGCGCCAAAGACCCGCGTTTGATTCCACCCTCGGGTAACTATCTGTGTGGAGTTTGCACGTTCTCCCCGTACCTGCGTGGGTTTCCTCCGGGCGCTCCAGTTTCCTCTCACAGCCCAAAGATGTGCAAGTTCGGTGCATTGGCTATGCTAAATTGCCCAGTGTTCAGGATGTAGAGGTTGGGGTGCATTGGCTATGGAAAATACGGGCTACAGGGAGACGGTAGGCAGATGTGTCCGGATGGGATGCTCTTCAGAGGGTTGGTGTGACCTTGTTGGGCCGAATGGCCTGTTTCCACACCGTGGAGATTCTATGATCATACAGTTCCTTGCTTCAATTTCAAGGTTATGCACAGCTCCCCCTACTCGCTACCCTGTCAAATCCTATAGCATAAACCATTCAGTCAGTTTATCTCTTCATCTGCGATATGCAAGGAAACGTAAGAGTAGCTTAACCCTTTTAACTCTCGTATAATTTTGGTGAATATGCACACCTTCCTGCTGTGTAGAAGTCATAGCTCATTGAAGTTACTCCAGATGGAGTCCAGTTAGAATTCTGTACAATAATAATTTCCAGTCTTTGAGAAATAAAAACATATTAAACTTTTTAAATACCTTTCACACAAGTTCACCAACATTGAGTTATTTCTACACTGTCTCTTAAATCCCTCTACTTATGTACAATCCTAGCTTTTTATCATTTAAAAAGTAATAATAAATTATTATTTAAAATATATTAAGGTCTAATAAAGATGCCATACCACAATCCAAAACTGAACACCACCTGTTCATTTTGCAGGCTCACTCAGTCATTTTGGAACTGTCTGTTCCCACCAACACTATTAACTGTGCCACTTCATTTCCTGCTGCCTGCAACCTTGGCTAAAACGACGTTGCCTTTCGTTACCAATTCATTGATAACATTAAGACATTTGGCAAAGGACAAACACTTCAAGTAAAAACTTTATTAAAAGATTAAAACACAAAAAATGCAATAGATACACTGAAACAGGTTAATGTGAAATGTAATAATTAACTTAATACATTGCATTAATACTGAGTTTTGGATTTTCAAAACAGAACAAGTAGTAACACCTGTAAAAATTATTGAGTGACTTTTTTGGTACCCAACAAATCAAAGCAAATGTTCACATATGGATCCTTCTCATCAGTTCATGGGATGTTGCCCATCCCTAATTACCCTTGAACTGAGTAGCTCTCTTGGTAATTTCAGAGAGCAGTTAATTGTCAATCTCACATTGCTGTGGGGCTGGAATTACTTATTGGCCAGACCAGGAGAGGCCAGCAGAATTCCTTTTACCTTCTGTCATAATGGGATTTGCACCCATGTCCATATTCCCACATTACCCTGGGCCTCTGGAATATTAGGCCACTGACATGATAACTATGTAACTGCCTTCCCTCCTTGCTGTAAATATTCACGCGAGTTTCCATCAGAAATGTTGACTTATGTATTTCATTAGAGGTGGGTGTGGATTTCCATTCTACATACCGTTACATGGATTTTCAAAGTTAAAATGTTAAACACCAAACAGGATTTTGAACAGGAAGTAAATACATGTTTATAGACACTGTTTATATTATATTAGAGTACAGCAGAAGAGGTTTCTTTTAAGATTGCTTAGTCTAAGCTTTGTAAGAACACTTTACATTAATAATAGTTAGGCAACTAAATATTGTTATTATTTGAAAATAAAAATGCTGATTCAAATTTGCCACTTCTTTATCTTTTAGAGGTGAGAGGCTTGATACCATGCTTATCAGAAGCGTGCAGTGTTAGTCTTCAAAGCTTAATGTCAGCAAGGAATTTCAGATGAAGGCTCAAAATAAAATCTGCATTTGCACTGTGTTGGTCCCAGAATCAGACTGTAAAACCCCTGTATTAAAAGGGCAGTATTGCCATGGATATGAATGGTATTTTTGCTGTATACTAATAACCTGGACTTGGCCACATGGACTAGAATTTCAATGCAGACGACAAAACTTGGAAATATATTATGACCGAGGAAGACAGTAGCAGATTCCAAAAAATAGATTGGTGAAAGTGGGCAGACACGTGGCAGATACAATTTAAATGCAAAGAAGCTTTCAGTGAAGCATTGTGGAACAAAAATGAGGAGATGCAACACAAATGGAATTATACAATTTCAGATACTGGGCATATACACACACAAATCAGTGAGCATGATAAGGGCTTATGTATTTATTTAATGTACAATTTGACAGGGGAGGCATATAATTAAAGGTTTAACCAAATTTTAAGGAATGTCTTGAAGGAAGATGGACAAGTACAGAGGCAAATGCATTTAGGGAGGGAATTCCACAGCTCTGCACCCAGACAGTTAACAGCTCAGTGGCCGCCAATGGTGAAGTGATTAAAATTCGACATATGCAGGAAACTGAAAGTGGAAGGTTATCGAGATCCTGATGCATTGGAGACTGCAGGAGTTCAGGAGGAGTAAGGCCATCAGAATCTGAAATCCAGGATGAATACTGAAAACAACGAATGAGTAGACTGGGAGTCCATTCAGATCAATGAGCACAGGAGTGACTGGTGAACAGGATTAGGTTAAGTTGAACATTAAAATAAAACAAAGAACAGCAGATGCTGGAGATCTAAAAATAAAACAGAAATTGCTGGAGAAATGCAAGAGAAAACAGATACTGTCCTTTGGTTTATTCATAGAAGTATAAAGTACAAAAGCACAGAAGTTACATTCAACCTTTACAAATTATTGCTTAGGTCCCAGGAGTCCAATTCTGGGCTTCAAGGTGAATAGCAAAACCTTGGACAGGATGGACAAGGATTTCTTAAGTGCACCCCAGATTGAGGAACTTCGGCTATGAGTAGAGATTGCAGAAGCTGGGATTGTTCTCCTTATTGCACAAAAGGTTAAAGGGAAGATCTAATGAAGGTGCTCAAAATCATAAAGTGGTTTTGGTAGTGTAAATAAAAAAAAAAATATTTCCAGGTGTAGAGGGATTAGTAATTAGAGGACACAGATTTAAGGCAACAGTCAGAACAATGGTCGGGTGTGACTACAGACAGAAGTTCTTTTTTAAATTTGAGTTATGAAGGCCTGGAATGCACTGCCTGAAAAGATAGTGGAAGCAGATTAAACAGTAACTTTCAAGAAGTGAATTGGATAAATACTTGAAAAGGGAAAATACCAATTTGAAGAAAAGAGCAAGAATAGAACAACCTGTGGTATTCTTTCATATACTGCCACAGGCAAGATGTTTCTGATGCCACCACACCCCTCTATTACACGACTGAACCTGAGTCCCAGGTAATTTTCATGATCAGACGTCAACAGCACAGTCTGGACTGAGATTTCTGATGGAACTCCTGTTACATACTTTTTCAAAAAACAAAAAAAAGACCGAATTACAGATTTATAAACTACTTCACGCACAGATTAGAATGATGCATTACTGATCATTTCCATCAGCCAGAAAGATAAATTGATGGTGAAAAATATAAGTAAATCTCATCTTAGCTATTCACGGAAGTTACATCCCTCATAATTCCATCAATTAGATTTAAAAGTGATCAGCCCAGCCGTGCAAGATGGGGGCTGGAACCTCGGACTTCAGCCAGAAATAAATCGGAAATTGTTAAAAGTTCCTTTGAAATAAATTACTTTTATTTTGTAGATAAAATAATTTATTTTTGAAAAGGCCTAATATTTTGCAAGGAAATACTGGCAAACAGTCTTTATGGAGTCCTCCCCTCAAGCAGGATTGATAGAATTACAGAGCCATAAACAATCAGCTTCCAGACCAATACTTTTAAGACAATGGAGCAACTTCTACCGGAGCCTGTCAGGAAGCAAAATAAAACAGTGTAAATACTGTCATGAGTACAGCTAATAGGACAACAAAATGAACTGTGCTTTTCTGCATCACAGTTTAAAAGAAAACTGTGTGCAAAGTTAGCTCAGAGTGCTCGGTTATGTTGGAGGGGGTCCCTGATATCTCAGTGTCAGGTAGAAGGAGCGAGCAAAGTTGTTCACCACACTGCAGCTGTCCTGCTCCTCAATCAGTGGCAGCAAAAAGGCAAGCAGCAGCAAAAGGAGCAGGAGCAGCTGGAGAGGGAGCGCTGCACAACAGGCACGGGACAAATAGTGGCAGATCCCTCGTGACGTCTGCTGAAAAACAAAGTGAAACTAGTTAGAAGGCACTGTACTACATTTCACAGTTAATGTCAAGCACAAAAACACTTGAATTTATCATTAACATCATTTTAATACTGTAATGCAGCACAAACCATTAAAGAAATTACTTTTCCAGTTAAAATGTGAAAAATATGGAACTATTATTGAAATAAGCTTTGCCACTTGAATTTATCGGTCACTAATTAAGACTCACTGGGAACTTGCTGTGCACATAGAAGCAGGCTTGGTCATTCTTGCTGGATCATAGCTGATTATCTGCCACAATACCATCCCTTGACATCACGCGTAGTTTGAAATCTACCAATCTCTGTCCTGAAACCAGCTCAACAACTGAGCTTCCATAACCTTCTGGGATAGAAAGTTCCAAAATGTCACCATCCTCTGAGTGAAGAAATCCCTCCTCATCTCAGTCTTAAATGGCTTGACTTTTATTCTGAGACTGTGTCATCTGGTTCAAGGCTCCACAGACAGGGAAATATCCTTCCTCCATCTATACTGTTGAGCCCTTTAAGAGTTAGCTGTCATATTTTCCACACAGCAATGTGGTTGACTCTAAACTGCCCTCTGGGCAATTAGGGATCAGCAATAAATGCTGGCCCAGACAGAAATGCCTGTATCCTGTGAATGAATTTTTAAAAAATGGCAGTACAGCACTTTGGAACATCCTGACATTATTAAAGATGCCACATGAATGCAAATCTTTCTGCAAAAGTCCAGCACATGTTTAAAAAAGATTATAAAATTATGATTCACCCTTCCTCAAATTCAATGCAATGTTGGGATTGCTTTCTGGTGGCACTTAAAATGTTAATAAAGGGATGGGAAGCAGGTCCAATGGTGTTTCAGTGGCACAAAACATGTAATAAAAAAAGAAATTTTTCTTGAGATGAGGAAAGGTATGTGAAAAGGAGATCCAAAACAAATTTTGAAAAAACTGAATCAGGAGGACAGAGACTAACGCTTTCAAACACATTAAAATCCTCATGTTTCAAATGGAATCTGAGCAAGGAGAATCATGAGGGATTAGTAGACAGGAAAATGCGAACAACATTCCGGTGACTCAGTGGTTAGCACTGCTGCCTCACTGCACCAGGGACCTTGGTTCAGTTGCATCCTCAGATGATTGTCTGTGTGGAGTTTGCACATTCTCCCTGTGTCTGGGTTTCCTCCGGTTGCCCCAGTTTCCTCCCACAGTCCAAGATGTGCAGATTAAGTGGATTGGCCATGCTAAGTTGTCCATAGTATGCAGGGATGTGCTGGCTAGGCGAATACGTGGCTGATGTGTTGGCAATGAAAGGGAATTGATTTGAGCTTATTATTGAATACTAACAGGAAAAGAGGAGGCCATTCTGTCCATTGCATCCAAGCTAGTGCTCTGTTGAGCAATCCAATCAGTCCCATTTTCCCCTGCAAGCTTATTTCCCTCTAACAGAAACATAGAAAACATAGAATACATGAACACCCAATTTTGGAAAATAGAAATACCCTAATGTTCACCCCATTTTATACTGAAATCATTCACCATCTCTGCTTCCACCACTCTCTCAGGCAAGTTTCAGATCCTTATCTTACTCAACTTTTAAAACAAGAACTTCCACATATTCTTCCTGTATTGCTTATCCAAAGCCTTAATTGTGTTCCCTCATCTTTGTACCATCACCTAATGGGAACAGCTTTACTTTACATTCACATAATTTGTCACTGTCTTGATTACCTCTATCAAACCTTCCCTCGAACTACTTTGTTTCAAAGAGAACAAGCCCATCATCTCCAACTTTGTTGATGATTTCCTCTCAGCGCCTGGAAATGGGCATTTCCCAGAGCCAGTGGCAGAAGTGTTACAAGACCAGAGGCAAAAGGAAGCCATATCATAAAAAGGAAAATATGAACTTAGTGAGAGCTTTGTCACGTTCCTGAAAATACCAAGACTGGTCCATGCCATTTTCACACAGTGAGACCCCAAGGCAGCAATAAAAAGTACCGGGCACTGAGGTTGGATGCTGAAAACTTTCCTGGGGTTCTCAATGTTGTACAAGGAAATAAGGACCATTGATCTGATGTACAATGCCTCTAACAACAAACTGGTTAGGACAAAAACAAGAGTTTAAAACTGCATAGTTCTAATCAACAGTACTCCCTTCAGGCAGTAGTATGAGTCTCACTTTGCACTTCCCCTCAGCCAGAGGTGCCAAGCTGACCCCTAAAGAGGAAGAAATTAGTCATAGAGCCATACAGCTGTACAGCACAGAAACAGCCCCTTTGGTCCAACTCATCCGTGCCGACCAGGTATCCGAAATTAATCTAGTCCCATCTGCCAGCATTTGACCCATATCTTTCTAAATCCTTCCTATTCATACACTCATCCAGATGGCTTTTAAATGTTGTAATTGTACTAACCTCCACCACTTCCTCTGGCAGCTCCTTCCATACACACGTTACCCTCTGTGCGAAAAAGTTGCCCCTTAGGAACCTTTTAAATCTTTCCCCTCTCACCTTCAAACTATGCCCTCTAGTTGTGGACTCCCCAACCCCAGGGAAAATACCTTTTATTTTTAGCCGATCCATGCCAGTCATGATTTTATAAACCTCTATAAGGTCACCCCTCAGCCTCCAACTGTCCAGGGAAAATAGCCCCAGCCTATTCAGCTTCTCCCTTATAGTTCAAACTCTCCAACACTGACAACATCCTTGTAAATCCTTTCTGAACCCTTTTGAATTTCACAACATCCTTCCTATTGCAGGGAGAACAGAATTGAAAGCAGTATTTCAAAAAAATTTAAACAAGGTCAAAGAAAATTCAGAATAAATATGGTGCACACAGAAAGAATGCAAAAATCAGCCTGCTGTTTGAAGAACAATTCCAACAGAGAAAACTGCTTGGTTACATAACTTCAAGACCTGGACAGTGTGGCAGAGCTGATGGTTACATCCTCAAAGGAGAGGAGCTGGAATTCTACCTGATGAAGACCAGAGCCCAGAAGGGCAAATAAATAGATGATTTGGAGTTGGGGACTAAGTGTGGTGTGTCAAAATTTGCAGATGACACTGAGGTGAGTGGTAGAGCAAAGTGTGCAGAAGACACAAAGTCTGCAGAGGGATATAGATAGTCTAAGTGAGTGGGCAAAGGTCTGGCAGATGGAGTACAACGTTGATAAGTGTGAGGTCATCCATTTTGGTAGGAATAACAGGAAAATGGACTATGTTTTAAATGGTAAAAAATTGCAGCACGCTGCTGTGCAGAGGGACTTGGGTGTCCTTGTGCATGAATCGCTAAAAGTAGGATTGCAGGTGTTACAGGTAATTAAAAAGGCAAATGGAATTTTGTCTGCCATTGCTAGAGGGATGGAGTTTAAAAACAGGGAGGCTATGCTGCAGATAACAAGGTGTAGAGCTGGATGAACACAGCAGGCCAAGCAGCATCAGAGGAGCAGGAAGGCTGACGTTTCGGGCCTAGACCCTTCTTCAGAAAAAAAAACCTAGACCCGCCCGAAGCATCAGCCTTCCTGCTCCTCTGATGCTGCTTGCCCTGCTGTATTCATCCAGCTCTACACCTTGTTATCTCAGATTGTCCAGCATCTGCAGTTCCTGCCATCTCTGAGGCTATGCTGCAGCTGTATAGGGTCCTGGTGAGGCCACATCTGGAGTATTGTGTGCAGTTTTGGTCTCCTTACTTGAGAAGACATATACTAGCACTGGAGGGGGTGCACAGGAGATTCACTCGGTTGATTCCAGAGTTGAGAGGGTTGAATTATGAGGAGAGACTGAGTAGGCTGACATTATACTCATTGGAATTCAGAAGAATGAGGGGAGATCTTATAGAAACATATAAGATTATGAAGGGAATACAGAAGGTGGAGGCAGGGAGGTTGTTTCCGCTAGCAGGTGAAACTAGGACTAGAGGGCATCGCCTCAAAATAAAGGGAAGCAGATGTAGGATTGAGGTCAGGAGGAACTTCTTCACCCAAAGGGTTGTGAATCTGTGGAATTCCCTACCCAGTGAAGCGGTTGAAACTACCTCGCTGAATGTTTTTAAGGCAAGGCTAGATAAATTTTTGAACAGTAAAGGAATTAAGGGTTATGGTGAGTGGCCGGGTAAGTGGAGCTGAGTCTCAAAAAGATCAGCCATGATCTTATTAAATGGCGGGGCAGGCTCGAGGGGCCAGATGGCCTATTCCTGCTCCTAGTTCTTATGTGCTTATGTTCTTAAATACAGTACTCTTAGGAAAATGTGATTCATAAACCATTTTTCACCCAAAAAGAAAAGATATGGTTAAGGGTGAACAAGTGGTGATGCTAATTGATTGCCTTTGAACACATAAGAGTACAGCAAGATCTCTGGGATTAGTCAAGAAATCTGTAAGACTGCATATGCGTGAATAACATTACATAGATACACAGAAAATGGGAGGAGTAGGCCATTCAGCCCTTCAAGCTGGCTGTGCCATTCATTATGATCATGGTTCCTCATCCAACCCAGTACCCTGTTCCTGCTTTCTCCTTGTATCCTTTGATCCTTTTAGCCCTGTGAACTATACCTACCTTCTCCTTGAAAACATTCAATGTTGGAAAGTGGGAGGTTATGCACAGAGGCAGCAAGAATAGAGGTACAAAGTACTTTCTAAATGGAAAAAGGCTTCAGAAATCTGAAGCACATAGAGACAAGGGAGGTCTAGTTCAGGATTCTCTTAAGGTTAACAAGCAGGTTCTGTTGGCAGTTCGGGACACAAATGCAATATTAGCATTCATTTAAAGGATGCTTATGGGTATGGAAGGTTTGAGTTATAAAGAAAGGCTGGATAGGCTGGGACTTTATTTCACTGGAGTGTAGGAGGTTGACAGGCAACCTGATTGAAGTTTACAAAATAATGAGAAATATAAACAGAGTTCATGTTAGTTGTCTTTTCCCTAGGATGGAAGATTTCAAGACTAGGGGGCATATTATAAGGTGAGAGGAAAGAGTTTCAAAAAAG